AATCATTCCGGCAAACGAGGATCCCGGAGGCCTCGCGTCGTTACAAGGATCAAGGATCAATGATCTCGGTGCGATGATTTTTCGAATTCTCCGGGGAAATACAGTTAGGCGTTTTAACATTTTCCATGGTCGCTCCCCATGAATATCTCGCACGGAAACCTCATCGAGCAAACGGGAATGTACAAAACGCTACAAAATGAGACTTGAAATGAGACTTCCCAAATACGATCGCACGTATTTGGTCCTATCGCTTCCGCCGGATATATGAAATCTTCGCAGGGACCGCCACAAAGAGACGTTTGCGTCTCTGTCCCTCGCGTGTCGTCGCCGGAACGTCGGTGGCTCAGACAGGAAATTTTCTCGCCACGTAAAGGGAGAGAAAAAGTGGTCGATAAAAAGGAAAGATTTGCCAACTTCCTGCGAGTGTGCGAACGTGAGGGAAAGGCCGCCTCGCTACCACCTCGTAACACGGACGAGCGCAAGATCGCCCCGCAAAATTCCGCATCGAATTCCGTTTGGACATACATGGCAGCTCCACTTTTTCATAAATTAAGGGATCAAAAGCATTCATTATTACGCCTAAATCAAGTGGAGGAGCCCTCCCTTTGGAGAAATCTCTCAATAAATTCGACGTTGCCGGAGGAAACGCGGGGAGTTTAATAAAAAGAGAATTCGCATTGCGGACAGGCACGCGGGATGCCGCGGGCTGCAGCGGAGGGCCCTACGAGTGACATGTGAAAAATCGAGGGCACGAACGGGCCTTGCGTCACCTTCATCGACGAGGGAACGTCCTTAGAGACTTCGACGCGTGCACAGGAACATAACTGGTAAGTCGATGCATCGCGATCTGCACCGAGCCCTCCCTCCCCTTCCCCCTCCCCCCTTCCTCTCGCCATCCCTCCCGGTTGGGTCTTTACGGAAAAAGTTACGGAAAAATGGCTTCATCACGTAATGGATGGAGGGACACTTTTTTTTTCACGCGCGCTGCGATTTAATCCGAAGGAACGACAGCAGATATTAAAGCGAGGAGGCGTCAAAGGCGGAACGTTTTTAATTAAACACCTTTTAGACGTTTTAATCCGCGAGTCAACTCTGGGACGTTATTATTATTTTTGCTATCTGCGACACCCTCGCACGAGATAATTGTCGTCTGTATTCTCGCCCGTTGTGTCGTTCAATGTTGTTCGTTCCCCTATCTGGATAATTTTCCAGACAGCAAGAAGTCCGGTTCTGCACATCGTTTTACGAGGAGGAGGGGGGGACAGCACAATGTATTAATGAAAAAGTCCATTTTTCCCGAGCTATCGTTCTCAATCAGCCGCGGCCAGCTATCGTCAGCATGATTCTGTGTTATTACCTTCTGACAAAAACTCGTTTAATTATCGTTGCCTTGCATGCGTTATTAGTCCTTAAACAACGACGAGAGATATGTCTTTTTTTTTCTCATGCCTACGAAGACAAAAATTGCACGATGAAAATTTCGTGGGATTGAACGGATATCAACGAACTCAACAATTTGACGCGCAATGCGGAGGTGTCGCATCAAAGAAAGAAGAAAATAAAAATAAGAGCGAATTCGAAAATAAGGGGATTCCCCTTTATCCCCATAAACGTGACACGCGAGAAAACACTGCTACAGGCTACTTGCCATGTATTTAAATTCCTCGAGGAGCTCGAGCTTGTTTCGACGAAACTGATTCCGAACACGCGAGATTTGATTTTAAACACTTTCGTTCGACTCGCACCGCTGCGAGTCTATGAAACGCGAAGTGCGGTCATTACGTGGATCTCGATAAAGTTCGAACTCCCCTCTAGAATCGCGACCTCACGCGCTCTTAATCCTGTCGAGGTACGGAGGAGAGGCTCGCGAGTTGGCCGGTTATCGAGTTAACTGCGGCAATAACTTCGTAATACGACTTTGTTGCCGGAG